CTGCCTCCCAGGGAGCAAAGAGGTCGGAGAGGAGCGCCATTGGGTTGCCTGAGTGGCCCTGAGAGTGGGGAGGGGGCAGCCCTAGGGAGCAGCTGGGTATGGCTCAGTGGTCTGGGATCCAAGAACAATGTGAAACCCGAAGCTTCCTGGAGTTGTGCCAGGCTGGCAGGACCCGGAACAGGTCTGGGACGGGGCACGCGTGGCCCGTGCGGCCACCTGGTATCAGTCAGCGGTGGTCTCCCATTCCTATCCCCGACACCCCACCGCCATACTGGCAGATCAGCGCCTGGAGGGGGGTGGCGGCTGTTATGAAGGGGCACCCTGGACCCTGAAGCCGAGACCCCACGCACCTTGCCGCGTCCCACACTCCGCCCCTGCAGGAGCCAGTTCCGGCCCTCCCCTGGCCCCAGACACTGGTCCCAGCTCGTCTTGGTGGGACCCACTGCGACCCACCTGCTGTCGCCGCCGCAGTCGCAGATCTGAGCGCTGTGCCAGCCCAACCCGCCAGCGCCGCCTGCGCGCACGGCCCGCCCCTACCCTCAGGCGCCCCATCTGGCTCGCAGCACCGCCCACCCTCACACACCCAGAGAGCCCCCGCCCTCCCCGCCCTAGGATGTTACAACCTGAGCTCACGGAGTCAGGTCCAGTGTGGACAGACAACGCCGCAGCGACGTCTCCATGCTGGACTCCTCCAGCCGCTTTAGCCTGTTCAGCTGCTGGAAGAAACCTGCCAGGCTGGCAGCACTGGGCAGCCTGTGGACCATGGCAGGCAGCTGAGAGGAGCACCAAGCCAGCTACCTGTACCTGCTGGGGCCAGAGGGGAATGATAGGCTGCCCAGCAGCGTCCTGGGCAGCCCTCAGTCTCTCCTGAACTGGACCACCAGTCCTCTCTCTGTCCCCACCCTGGGGACCTGGGCACCCACACTGTGGGCCTGCTGGAGGGTAGGGATCAGATGGGGATCAGGGATGTCTGGAAGTCCTGTGTGCCTCCCAGGAAGCAAAGGGGTCCGAGAGGAGCCCCATGGGGTTGCCTGAGTGGTCCTGAGGGTGGGGAGGGGGCAGCCCTAGGGAGCAGCTGGGTATGGCTCAGTGGTCTGAGATACAAGAACGATGTGAAACCGGAAGCTTCCTGGAGTTGTGCCAGGCTGGTAGGACCCAGAACAGGTCTGGGCCGGGGAGTGAGCGGGGAGTGAGGGGGGCTGACCACCTGGAGTCAGACACTGGCAGTCTCCCACTCCTATCCCCACCCCTCACCGCCAAACAGGCGGATTGTCGCTCCAGGTCCAGGGGCTGGAATGAAGGGGTGCCCTGGGCCATGGAGCTGGGACCCCACGCACCTCATTGTGCCCCACACCCCGCCACTGCCCCAGACACCTGCTAGAGCTCATCGCATGGGACCCGCTGCGATCCACCTGCAGCCGCTGATCTGAGCACTGTCCCCGCCCCGCCCGCCAAGGCCGGCCTGCGTGCACGGCCCGCCCCCACCCCCAGGCGCCCGCGCACACTCAGAGGGCCCCCCTCCCGCCCCCAGGATGTTACAACCTGAGCTCACAGAGCTCGAGGGAAGTTCTATCACTGTGACCCATTCACCGATGAGGAAGCTCAAGCCACTAGTTAAGTGACTAGCTCAGGTCACCTGGGTGAGGTTGAGGTGCATGGAGGTCTGGGGGTACAGAGCCAACCCTCTTTCTACTGCAGCAGATCTCTTCCCCAACACGTGTACTGGGTGGGGAGACCAACGGGCGCCCCCCAACACAAGGTGGCATGAGGGCTGTGGCTTCAGGCACAGTGAGATGAGTGGCCCTGGGCAATCCCTGAGTCTCTCCCACAGTGGGTGGCAGTAAGCCATCTTCATGACATTGGTGAGACTGAGCAGCCTTTGACAATGTCTTTTTTGTTTATTTGCTTGCACTTTCTCACTTTGTTGCCCTCTGTAGAGTGTGGTAGTGTCACAGCTCATAGCAACCTCAGACTCTGGGCTCAAGGAATTCTCTTGTCTGAGCCTCCCTAGTAGCTGGGGACTACAGGCACCCGCTATTTTTTGTTGCTGTTGTTATTACTGTTTAGCAGGCCCAGGCTGGGTTCCAACCCACCAGCCTCCGTGCTTGTGGCCAGTGCCCTAACCATTGAGCTACTGGCGTTAGCCTGACAGTGTTTTTTTGAACTGGGGGAACTCAGACTGGCTGCTCTGAGCCTTCAGCTCCCGTGTCCTGCAAGTAGGCAAGCAGCCTCCCGGGGACAACCTGCACCCTCCAGGGAGGTGCTCTAGAGCAGTGATTCTCAACCGCTATGTCTGCACGAAAGTTATTAAAGATTGTTAATTCTTTTCTTTTCTTTTTGTAGAGACAGATTCTCACTTTATCGCCCTTGGTAGAGTGCCGTGGCATCACAGAGCTCACAGCAATCTCCAACTCTTGGGCTTAGGCGCCTGGCTAAAAGATTGTTAATTATTTTCAAAAGCAGTTCAAAGCACAGTAAGTATGTTCTTTTTTTTAATCAACATAATTTAAGTGTGCATGGAAGTTTAGCTATAGGTTCAAATGTGCAATGATATAAAAAAGATTGAAAAGCACTGTCCTAGACCCTCTAAGACTACCATGGCATTGCCCCCTTTCATGTCCCTGCCACAGGCCCAGAGAGTCCTGGGGGACCCCAATAGCAACTCCCTGTTTGTGGTTATCCGTGACAACCACCATGTGCTGTGTCCCCCATGCCAGTCCTCACATCTCAGGTAGCCTCCATGTCCTGTCATGTGACCATCATGTGACACCCCCCCCCCACACACACACACACATGGGGACTCTTTTATTCCTGGGGCTGAAGAGTCTTTCTGCTCTTCCCATTTCTTTAAAACCGAGAACATCCTGTGATAGGGTGTTAACTGGGTCACAGTAAAAGAATAACAATGTAGCCAGGCCCAAGCAGACATCTGCTTCCTCCAGAACTTTAGGGCTCTGTTGTCAGTTCATGTGTGGTTCATGGAGCTGGATCTCAGGGCACCTGCAGCCAGCCTGGCTTGGTGGGCTGATGACAGGATGGTGGACTCCTGGACAAGATGGTCCCACCTAGAACACTCTGCCTTGGCAGCTGCCTTGGTCCTTTTTGTTTTTTTTTCTTTTCTGAGATGGAGTCTCACTGTGTTGCTCTCAGTAAAGTGCAGTGCCTTCACAGCTCACAGCAACCTCAAACTCTTGTGCTTAAGAGATTCTCTTGCCTCAGCCTCCCAAGTAGCTGGACTATAGGCATC